GGGGGGGGGGGGGATATTGTGTCCTTCAAACGTATCTCCTGCGTTTTTTGAGGTATTACTGTATTTTGAATACTTAGGAATGAGTTAGTGTGTGTCAACTGAAAGCTTAATAAGCTGAGCTGTTTGGGAAACGCGGGGGTGGGGGTGGGGTGGGGTGGGGTTGAATAGTTGATATTTGAGAGCTTTGTTTGGAGGCTCCATTGAGTCAGCTTGTAATCTTTGTATTGGTGTCATTGATTGGATGTGACTAAGTAGTCAGCTCAAGTTGTTGGAGTCGGTGACCACTGCATTATTGTTCTATTTTAATCATTTAACCCAAATTATACATTTATAAAGGTATGTAAATTTTAAAGATAGATACATATTTAAAAAACTTTTGTATAAATCGCATTTATAACATCTTTTCTTTAAAAAAAATTATATCACATTGTTGTCATTAGTGATTCCCTTTGTTGTGATACGGAAGTCAGGCTTCATTGTCAACACGCCAAACATAAGAAAAACAATTTGGGTGTGTGTGTGCGTTTTCCATGAACTTGAACAAAATAATTAATGAAGCAAATTGTATTGAAGGAATCGGATTCTTGTTTACATAAGGAATCAGAGCTTGTATTTTTAACACTAAGGAAGAGGAGCTGTATTTTCAACACATGGGAAGAGGAGCTTGTATTTTCAACAGTAAGAAAGAGGAGCTTGTATTTTCAACACTAAGGAAGAGGAGCTGTATTTTCAACACTAAGGAAGAGGAGCTTATATTTTCAAGAGTGAAAAAAAAATGTCCAAGAGATTAGAATTAGAATGTTCTTGCCAACTTTTTTAATCTTAAAGTTTGTGTTTTCTTCCAATAACTTGTCAGAACTATTCATTGAAAGTGGGCCAGGTTATATCCCGACGTGTACACAAAATTCCATGGATGTTGCTGTTATTATTTTTGTATCTAAATGTTTTGGGCTTCCAGTTCTCAGCATGTACTTGTCCATCGAGAGAGCTGTTTGTTTTTTTATTGTTTTGTTTTTTAAAAAGTACATTTGACCAACAAATACTCAAATGTTATTTGGACTTGAAAGAACACAACGTGGCAGTTTGTAGGACAGTATGCTTCTGTTTTCTTCTCATCTGGTCATATTCAGTGTAGGTGGGATCATTGTTGGATCATATGTTTAAACTGGTATCTGATAGTGTCAGCAGTATTTTCCTGAGAATTCCAGTTGGCGTGAAATCTCCATGGCTTAGCTCAGAGAGCGGTTGCTCTCAAATGGGGCTTGGCCAACCTCAAGTTCAAGGGATGCCATCGTCAATAATGGCATACACACAAGTTTAAGGTTATCCACTTGTGTTTTATATACATCTCATTTATTTAGCTATTATCCACAAATTTAGAGATACTTGCAATACCGGTATACTAAATTGTTTTTTGATCAATGTTAAAATGGTACAGCAACAGAGGTAAATATAAATACAATTATAACAAAAGCATACAATTGCAATAATTATGTATATATACAGTTGGGAATGTCATATCATTGTTGCTGGCCGAGTTCATTTTTCTTTTGGTCTCAAAATAAAAAAAAAAAAATTAAAAAAAAAAAAAGTAAAGAATGTGGATTGTATTTTAAATTGTATTAATTCATGTATTATAGCTTCTGTACATTGAAATTGTCATAGGAACTGATTTATATTATGTTTAGACGGAAAGAAACTCATTTTGAAAATAGACAAGTTACGTCACATTGTCAGCTTAGAAAGTAAAGCATACAGTAGCTTGTCATTTGAATCTTGTAGTGTTTTGGCAGTGGAATAGCATAGTTTACTGTAGTGTCCAACGAAACTTACATGTTGCACTGATGAGATGAGAGTTGGGTAACACATGTCCCTGATAAAAAAAAAAAGTTTAAAAAAATACAATTTGTTAAAAAGAACTGTGATATGAAATGTGTGTTAGTTCGGGCATAATACAATGTCATATCAGCTCTTGAATTAGTGTTCAAAGAAGCCAGGGCTACGGCAGGGCTTCCAATACCAATGTAACAAATCTCTTGGACCACAAAGAGTCAGGCAGGGCTTCCAATACCAATGTAACAAATCTCTTGGACCACAAAGAGTCATTCCAGTTCCAATTTAAACAATACAAGAATCAACATTATTTGTGCGTCATTGACTTATTAAATAAAGCAGTATTTCCTGTTCTGTAACTTAATTGGCCGTTGGTAATTTTGTAAAAATGCTTGCATCACCGCACAAAAACTTGCTAACTTTTAATCCCCTTGATACTCATAACTAACTAAATTATAACATCAAAATTTTGCTTGATTTTTTAAAAATCAAAATCTTTATATGCATTGCTTGTAGTATATTTCTTAATTGGAACATTCCATGAAATGTATATTGTGATTGACATATGTGTTTTCAACCACAGACCAATTTCATCCTTTAAATTCCCCTAAGCATGGAGTGATAAAAGTCTGATGATACCTCACTTGGGTTGCTGAATATAAATGGACTCGGATATTTTTTTAATTCAAGCTGAGATGACCATTAAAAATTATCTCAAAAGGGAGGATTGCATATTGGGATTTTGTTCATATTTAACTTTTTACTTGGTATTGGAAGCTTTAGATGTTGTCAAGGATTCTATACAATTCGGACCAATGCTAAATTTAATTTATCATGGGTTTTTTTTTTGTGTGTCTTTTGTTACCCCTCTGATACGAGGTTGTGCATAAGTTTTATTTGTAAGCTTTTTTCTCATCTAGAGTTGTGAAAATTAGGTGTTTTTTCCAATTGACCGTCCAGTAAACCACTGATGCTACTGAGAGAATGGTATGTTGGGTGTCGCTTGCCAAGCAAAATTGATGATGAAAAAAATCTGGAGCATGACCTTGAACTTCCCATAACCATTTTTAGTGATAGACAAAATGGTAAGAGGCAGCAACTTCAGGTCAACACCACAGTTTTGCCAGTGTACCTGGTTTGTGAATATGATCATACTCCACAGTTTTGCCAGTGTACCTGGTTTGTGAATATGATCATACTCCACAGTTTTGCCAGTGTACCTGGTTTGTGAATATGATCATACTCCACAGTTTTGCCAGTGTACCTGGTTTGTGAATATGATCATACTCCACAGTTTTGCCAGTGTACCTGGTTTGTGAATATGATCATACATCACAATTTTGCCAGTGTACCTGGTTTGTGAATATGATCATACATCACAATTTTGCCAGTGTACTTGGTTTGTGAACATGATACCCTACAATTTTTCCAGTGTACTTGGTTTGTGTGAATTTAATCATACCCTACAATTTTTCCAGTGTACTTGGCTTGTCAAATGATCATACACTACAGTTTTTCCAGTGTTCTTGGTTTGTGAATGATCATGTTTTGCCAATGTATTTTGTATCTTTAATATTTTTTTCCTTCATTGTTAATTCAACAGTCCACATGTTGCATAGGAAATTTAATGACAGCCCACTGAACAAATTCCTGCTAAATTATTATACATCAATTTTTAAGTTGTGACATCTATTTCTCTTTCTTCCTACGGCATGGAAGTTGTGTTGGTCAAATATGTGTCAAGCTTCAAACATTCCACATCATTCACAGCTTGCAGTCCTGTAAAAGGCGGTTTAAAAAAGTTATTGTTTTTTTATATTTCAAAGCAAATGTTTAAAAAAATCCGATAGATTTGACCACACAAAAGAAATGTTTAGATGGCACTATGTCCTAGATTTTGAGTTAGGAATTTTTTGTTTTGTTTTATAGTTTGCTGTGTAAGTTTTTAATGTCATAACATTCAATATGCTATTGTAATCCATCTGATAAATTTCTTAACATTAATTTATTAACATTATATTGATGTTGGGGTAAGCCACCTGATTATATATTCGGCCTATTTATGAAAGATTTACCTTAAAACAACATTTATTGTACCATTCTTTTGTTGACCTAAATTATTTGTTCCCATTACTGATTGAGCCATGTTGTGTTTGAGCCATGATGTATTGTGCTTGAGCCATGGCTTGTTGTGTTTGAGCCAGTATGTATTGTGCTGGAGACTAAGGATATCCAAATTCCAATTTATTTTATTTTTATATAATTACTGTCTTTGATTTGTGACTGTATAATATATTTGGCCTCATCTTTTCTTCATCTAATGAAAAGTTAAGAATATGATGAATAGTAATAGTAAAGGAATAAAAGTTTTCTCTCCAAAATATTTATAATATATATGAAAGTTCCCATGACCAAGTGCAGTAGTAAAAGTGTATGTAATTTTTGATGTAGTATTATTTTCTTGGACTTAATGGAGTCTGGCCCTGCTATATTCATAGAAATTTTCTTGTGGCCCGACTATATTCATAGAAATTTTCTTGTGGGCCTACTATATTCATAGAAATTTTCTTGTGGCCCGGCTATATTCATAGAAATTTTCTTGTGGCCCTATTATAATAAGTTATATTCATAAAAATTTACTTGTGGCCCTGCTATATTCATATAAATTTTCTTGTGGCCCGGCTATATTCATAGAAATTTTTTTGTGGCCCGGCTATATTCATAGAAATTTTCTTGTGGCCCGGCTATATTCATAGAAATTTTCTTGTGGCCCGGCTATATTCATATAAATTTTCTTGTGGCCCTGCTATATGCATAGAAATTTTCTTGTGGCCCTGATATATTAATAGAAATTTTCTTGTGGCCCCGCTATATTCATATAAATTTTCTTGTGGCCCTGCTATATTCATAGAAATTTTCTTGTGGCCCTGCTATATTAATAGAAATTTTCTTGTGGCCCTGCTAAATTCCTAGAAATTTTCTTGTGGCCCTGCTATATTCCAAGAAATTTTCTTGTGGCCCTGCTATATTCCTAGAAAATT